ATCCATTGAATCTTCTTTTCCATATGGTACCCCTGTACTCTTCTCCCTGGTACCTTGCAGTAATGACTGATGTCTAACAGTCTGGGGACTCTCTAGAGATTAAACTTGTAGTTGCTCTCTAAACTTCCAGTGTGTTGGGGGAGCCATGAGGAGAGGAGAATAGATCTGGGTTCAAGCTACTTTTTAACAAATGTTTGGGCAGTTTCCTGTGTGCAGTCTTTCTTTCTCTCCCCACTTCAGAGGTACCTGGTGCCTCCTACACCCAGGCCTTTTGAGAGTTTTGCTATGTCAGTCTGCTGCTTAGCAGCCTTCATGACTGGCCAAGAATTCAGTTTTCTCTGCTAAGTCAGTTACCATTTGCTCTTTGGGGCTTCTGGCTTCTGAAATTGTCTTTGTGTTCTCTTCTGCTAGCCTCTGATTTTTAAAGGTCTTTTTTTCTGTTATTTTAGTAGATCTTGTTGATGGGAAAGAAAATTAAAGTATGTGTTCAGTTGCTGATTTTGCACTGTTATCCCTGACTCCCCGTCTCTGCACTTGCTTTTCCTGCATGGTGTATGCTCCTGCCCAGAGTCCTGTACCTCTCACATTCATCCTTCATTTCTGTGCTCAGGCGGTAGGTACACTAGACCTGATGTCCCTGCCTGTAAAGTCGTATCCGACTCTCTGCGACCCCATGGACTGTAGCCTACCAGGCTCCTCTGTCCATGGGATTTCCCAGGCAAGAGTACTGGAGTGGGTGGGCATTTCCTTCTCCAGGCGCTCTTTCCCACCCAGGGATCGAACCCAGGTCTCCAGCATTGCAGGCAGATGCTTTACTGTCTGAGCCACCAGGAAGCCCACTGAACATCCCTGCTTAAAGTAATTTACTCATTCTCCTCCACCTTCCAGCTCTCATACTTCACCTGATCTATGTATTTAGTAAAGCACATGAGCATTGTAATTATTTGATTACACCTAATCCTTCTCTGGACTTCCCTGGTGGCTCAGTGGTAAAGAATCCACCTGCCAATGCAGGAGATGTAGGTTTGATCCCTGGGTTGGGAAGACCCCCCTAGAGAAGGAAGTGACAACCCACTCCAGTAATCTTGCCTGGGAAACCTGTGGACAGAGGAACCTGGCAGGCTACAGTCTATGCAGTCACAAAAAGTCAGATATAACTTAATGACTAAATGAAAACAACAAAGTCTTCTCTACTAGTTTTATATATTAATTCTAATCAAATCTAACAAACAAATTGCATGAATAGAAGTAATTCTTCCTTTCATAAAAGATAAGACTGATGTTTAATAACCACAGCAGAAGGACAGCATAACTGGTGGCTTCTTTTCACGATTAAGTTGTATACAAATATGAATAGAAGTTTTTATACTTTTAAGGTTGACTCTCTTTAGTATCTTGCTAACAATGTTAAATATTGTGTACTCTTTAAAAGTGATAGTACAAAAGATAAACTTTAACCTGTCTTTGATTTACTAAAAGTTTATTTTTCAAGCTCAAAGCAAAAATTATTTTGAACAATTTATTGTGAGACTCACATTTTTTATGTAACATCAATTTACCACATTTATTCCCTTGATTGCAGTGAAGTTTAAGTCAAAGTAGCACTAGGAGGTAGGATCAGGTTATGTATAAGAATCATGTTCAAGTTCACCTTTTGGTAATACTAAAAATATCTTTCTAGTTTTGTTAATTTTGTAAAGAGAAGCTTAGATGTTTCATTATGTCCTCAGGAAATATTATAGAATATACTTGTAAATATAAGGCTCTGATATCCAGTATAGATAGAGACTTATTTTGCCTTATTTGGGGTAATATAGTTGAACTTAAAACACTTTGATCTTTACTACAGAATGATGTAGCATGACCATATAAAAATAAGTCACACATTCTAGCTAGTATCTTTTGAAATATTTTATTCTATCTATCGTCAAATGCCCAGTTCTATTTAAAAATCAAAGCAAGAATACAAATACATTGATTGCTGACATTACATCAACTTTGACTGTTCAGTTGGTTAAAACTTGGGGTGCTGGTAGAATCTGTAGAATCCCTTTAAGTTTTGTAATGTCAGAGATGGAAGGGAGCTTGCTGCTACTGCTGCTAAGTTGCTTCAGTCATGTCCGACTCTGTGCGACCCCATGGACGGCAGCCCATCAGGCTCCCCTGTCCCTGGGATTCTCCAGGCAAGAACACTGGAGTGGGTTGCATTTCTTTCTCCAGTGCATGAAAGTGAAAAGTGAAAGTGAAGTCGCTCAGTCGTGTCCGACTCTTCGAGACCGCATGGACTGCAACCCACCTTCAGTTCAGTTCAGTCACTCAGTCGTGTCCGACTCTTTGCGACCCCATGAATTGCAGCACACCAGGCCTCCCTGTCCATCACCAACTCCCAGAGTTTACTCAAACTCATGTCCATCGAGTCGGTGATGCCATCCAGCCATCTCATCCTCTGTCATCCCCTTCTCCTCCTGGCCCCAATCCCTCCAGCATCAGGGTCTTTTCCAATGAGTCAACTCTTCGCATGACGTAACCAAAGCATTGGAGTTTCAGCTTCAGCATCAGTCCTTAGAGTCCCTCAAATTCAAACCTCTGGCCAGTGTAGAGACAGCATGAGATGCCATTTCTGAGTCAGTATTCATCTAGTGACTGGAGAGTTATACCTCTTGCATTAAAATTCTCTTTTCACCTGTTTAACAACTCTAATGAATCTATCTCTTTTTTAAAATTAAAAAAAAAAATTTGACTGTGCCACATGGCATGCAGGATCTTAGTTCCCCATCAGGGATAGAACCCGCACCCCCTGCAGTGGAAGCACAGAGTCCTAACCACTGGAGTCACTGGACCATCAGGGAAGTCCCAAATCTACCTTGATGTGTGAGACAAATATCATTCGTAATCCTGCCATGGTATCTTTCCTACATAGATCAGTATTCCTTTTACTCAAGCTTTCATTCTAAATAATATATAGAAGAGTGGCTTTTATGTAATGTGTGACTTTCACAATTCATAATTTGTTGCATGGTAGCTCAAAACTGCAAGCCTTTAATTTTTGTGTTCCTAAATAAAAAAACATGCAAGAGACACACAGGTCTTCAGTAATTGTCATTTATTGTGATGTTATTTGTAACTACCAAATTCTGTAAGAAAGAAACAACCAAAAGATTGAAAAGAACATATCTACTGATGGTGAAATGTTTAGTGCATCTGTGATAGCTGGCATACATAACCCTTCATCATTGTGTCAGTCATCAAATCTATTCTAATCTGATTTTCATTGTTGTTGTTTTTAATCAAATGAGGGAGTTTAAAGTTTCACTGGGCTTTACTACCCATCTGAGGGATCTAGGAATCATAGGTAGAGCGTTACTTTAGAGGAGTAAATTGTAGATACAGCTGGGAAGTACTGCAGGAAACTGCAGCGTTTTATTTCAGACGTGAACCATAAAGAAACTGAGCCATGTAATTATGTCCAAAGCAGAAGAAACACTCTGTGATCTGTGAAAGTTTAAATGGCAAAGTAATAAAATTAGAGCTGGTGAAGTTTCTACTACCATGAGGCATGATGAGGAGAGGTCAGTTTTTATCCTAAATAAATTTTGCATTAATTTTGTTTGGTATCTTTGAGATTCACCAATGATTTATCATAAATAGGAGGCTGACCAAAGACTGCGCTAACCTCAGATTTTCATAGCTATTAAGTGTTCATTTTTCCAGTTGAAAATCAAAACATTTAAATTTTCTAATGGCATCTAGTTCTTTTTATCTCATACATTAAATGATTTTATAGCTAAGGAAACTGATGGCCACAATGATTTTTCTCAATTCATCCAACTAGTAAACAGGTTGAGCTGGAAATCCCCCGGAGAATCCAAACCCTGTGTTCTTTTTAATTAATTAACGTATTTATTTTTAAGTTGAAGTATAGTTGATTTACAGCATTGTGTTAACTGCTGCTCTCCAGCAGAGTGATTCGGTTATATGTGTATTGATGTATATATATTCTCTTTTTAAATATTCTTTTTCATTATAGCTTATCATAGGATACGGAATTTAGTTCCCTGTGCTATCCAGTAGGACCTTGTTGTTTACCCATTCTGTATATAAAAGATTACATCTGCTGACCCTAACCTCCCACCCCACCCCTCCCCTAACCTTCTCCCCATTGGCAAGCACCGGTCTGTTCTCTGTGTCTGTGAGTCCATTGCTGTTTCATTGATAGGTTCATTTGTGTCATGTTTTAGATTCCACATATAAGTGATGTCGTATGGCATTTGTCTTTCTCTTTCTGACTTACTTCACTTAGTATGATCATTTCTAGTTGAATCCATGTTGCTGCAGATGGCGTTGTCTTGTTCTTTTTAATGTCCAAGTAGTATTCTATTATACATGCACACGTGTGCATGCGTGTGCATGCATGCACACACACACACACACACACCATATCTTCTGTATCCATTCATTTGTCGGTGAACATTTAGGTTGTTTCCATGTTTTGGCTGTTGTCAACAGTGATGCTAGAACCATAGAGGTGCATGAATCTTTTTGAAGTATAGTTTTGTCTTGATATATCCCCAGGAGTGGGATTGCTGGATCATATGGTAATTCTGTTTTTAGTTTTCTGAGGCACCTCCATTCTTTTTTCTAAAGTGGCAACACCAATTTAACATTCCTACCAACAATGTAGAGGGTTTCCCTTTTTTCACATCCTCTCCAGCATTTCAAACCCCAGGTTCTTAGTCATCACATCACCAAATTCAGTCATAGAACCTTTTTTTGGAAAGTTTTCAACCGTAGTAAATTGCTGTCTTAAAAGACTGATGTTAGTAGCTTGAGGATTTCACATCAGATGCAAGCATAGGATCAGACAACTGCAGCTTCCCTTTCTGAATCAGTTAACCTGTTGTGTGATGATTTCAAGAAGTGAATATTGATTTGAGGCTTGGGATTCAGGGTACTGCAGCACCCGTGTGAGGATCGCTCAGGCTGTCTCTTACTTGTTGCAGGAACAGCATCTGTTGCAGTTGCCGGCATCCTTGCAGCCCTTCGAATAACCAAGAACAAGCTATCTGATCAAACAGTTCTATTCCAAGGAGCTGGAGAGGTACCTGCCTTATGGAGTGCTTATGTTCTCCTAAACTAGTGAATATAACATTCATTCTAATAACTCATGAATTTTAAGTCTGAAGTAGTTCATGAAATTTTTAGTTTATTGAAATTACAGGTTTTATTGAAAGATTCTTTAAGTTTTGAGGCTTATTAATTTTTCACAGGAAACTTTAGAGGCATAGAGGTATTTTTTGCAGCTATCAATTTGTAAAATTGTCAGATATTTCCATGGATTTTTGTTAGGCATATTTAAGGTGCCATGCATGAACCAAAAGTGTTTCCAATATATGATTAATTATGTATAGAAACCTTTAAGTTGTTACAGCCGGTGCTAACTTTTAGTATCCTCCAGTGTCACATACCAATATTTTCCTAATTTGACTCACAATTCAGTATGCACGTATATAACTATATATAGGATTTTTTAGAAGAAATATTTTGAATCGGAGATTCATCATGCAGTACAACAATTCACATGCAAAAGAACTAAAACATTCTAAATTGTTGGAAGAAGATGGCAGCAATACAAAATAATGCTATATCCATTTAAGAAGCCTTAGACTTTATAATTTAATATGACTATAACTAAATGTATTACACTGGTAGAAACTATGTATACTGTGTTGGGTTTGATTTTACTTGTTCTTAAAGCAAAATATGTGAAGCTAAAATTTGCATGCCAAGTTATAAATATGTGAACGTATTCAGAGTATAAATCTCAAATTTATTTTCACATCAGAATGAAAGCCAAGGTTAAATTACAGCTCATTAAGTTTTTTTTTTTAATTTTAGTGAATTGTTACATGCTGTACTTAATTTTAGTAAACTTCTTTAAATTTCCAAAGGGTTTTTGTTGAATGCCACAGGCTAGTTCTTGATACTCAGCAGGAAAGAGGTATTCATGGTTGGATGATCCGAAACTGGCCCTCTTTGTCCCTGAAAAGGTTTTGGAAATTTCACAGATCATCACCAAATTTATCATATACCAAAGGAGTTGATTCCTTTAATCTTATAAGAAGTCTCACAGTACTTTCTTTGTCCAAATTAAGAGAGTAAATAAATGCTTGAGAACACACATCTTATGTGTTCTGTTTTATTGCCTAATTGGTGAAGTTCCCATCCAAATCACCCAGCTTCATTCTTCAAATTCAATTAGCAGAACAATAAGCAATACAGTCCGATAAGCCAGGGTGAGGAGTTCATTATTTTAAATTTGGTATTTTCTTATCAGAGGAAATCTTAATTGTATGAACAGAATTAAAGATACTGAAAATCAAGGATATCACTGGTTTATCTGTGGCTAAATATCACGCCACATAATAGTGATTCTGTTGTAATAAGGGTAAATAATTGTCATTTAGCATAGTAAACTCTGCGAGTTGGTGATTGACAGGGAGGCCTGGCATGCTGCAGTCCATGGGGTCGCAAAGAGTCGGACACGACTGAGCAACTGAGCTGAACTGAACTGAAATGTGACAAAAATACTTTGCTCTCCAAGGTTAAATTGCAGCTCATTAAGATCTGGGTTCTTTTTTATTTCTGTGAATTGTTACATGCTGTACTTAACTTTAGTAAACTTCTTTAAATTGAAGTTTAAAGGAGCTTTGAATGAATATAGCTCTTTGGATTGGTAGACAGAGCCATTTTGTAGTTGCTTATTAACGGTGATGAAATGAGGTAAAATGTAACTCTTGATAAGGGATTATGTAGAACCACTTGAAGCATTTTTGTTTTTCAGGCTGCCTTAGGGATCGCACACCTGATTGTCATGGCCATGGAGAAAGAAGGTTTATCAAAGGAGCAAGCTATAAAGAAGATATGGTTGGTTGACTCGAAAGGATTAATAGTTAAGGTAAGAGTTTGTCAGTTTTAACCAGGTACAGTATTTTAATCAATATGCCATTCTGGATGCCCATCTCTAAGACAACTACTGTTTCCACCTACCGCATCCCCAACACTGTGTTAAAAGAGTGGCTAGGGAAGCCTGGCTTGCTGCAGTCCGTGGGGTTTCAGAGAGTCGGACACGGCTGAGTGACTGAACAACAACAATTACACACAGATGACCATGCTACACAATGATGTGGATTTTCTGCTGAATCAAGGAGACAGCTGAGGCTCAGCTTTTTGTCTGTCTGTGGTGTGAGGAGACTCCTGACAGCTCCATGGTCTGTCTGTATGGATTAGCTTCGTTTCCAAGTGAGGCAGTTTGAGGCTGATACAGGTGGAAGACTTAGGCCCCGCTCCTTTCACTAAGGGCTGTCTGTCAGATTACACACTAACTGGGAAAAAAGGAGGAAAAATCATGAAATAGCTACTGTTTTACCTGCTACTGTCTCTCAGCCAGAGTCTTGGAGAGTTTGGATGGTAATTCCTGAGAAGGACTTGAAAAAATGCGCTGGATTCCAAGGTGGCTCAGTGCCAATGCAGGACACATGGGTTCAGTCTCTGGGTCAGGAAGATCCCCTGGAGTGGGAAATGGCAACCTGCTCCATGTTCTTGCCTGGGAAATCCCATGGTCAGAGGAGCCTGGTGGGCTATAGTCTATGGGATCGCTAAGAGTCGGACACGACAGCACGCATGTGGTTCAGTGTTAACTTCCTTGAGGTTGTCTCCCAGCCTTAATAGAGACTGTGGTACCCACTTCATAGGGTTATTGTGAGAACCTAAGTAAGAATACAGTTACGTAGGTTATAGTTACAGTAACTAATGACATAATTACAAGGTGTTATTACTACACCTGTCATCTCTGCACATCACTCACTCTTCCTTAAACTGCCAGAGAAAATACTCGTAAATCCCCCTTCCACATGAAGGTGAATTTTAAAAAAAAAGAAAAACAGTGATAAGCATTGTCTCCAGACACTGGATATAGAAACATGTGAATATGTGCAAACTTTCTGCAAAGCTGTTTTCTGTGTATCCAGTATCTTTAAAAACTTGTGCTTCTGATCCAACAGTTTCCATTCTAAGAATCTTTACCATAGAGGTACAGATGTGTCAGTGTATGTGTGAGGGTGTTGTCTTAGCATTATTTATAATTACGAGATGTTTCATCAGACATTAATTAAGATAGTGATAGGTTGTTGTTGGGTTGCTCAGTCATGTCCGACTCTTGGCAACCCCAGGGACTGCAACTGCCAGACTCCTCTGTCCATGGGATTCTCCAGGAAAGAATACTGGAGTGGGTTGCCATTCCCATCTCCAGGGGATCTTCCCAACACAGGGATTGAACCCAGGTCTTCTGCATTGCAGGTGGATTCTTTACCATCTGAGCCATCATGGAAGCCCATGGTGATAGGTTATACTTACCTAAAGAAAGGATGCTATGACATGAATTGGGTAGTAGCTACATAGATGTAATATACAGGCTTAAAGTTATTTTCATGGCTCAGTAGGTAAAGAATCTTCCTGCAATTCAGGAGACCTGGGTTTGATTCCTAGGTCAGAAAGATCCTCTGGAGAAGGAAATGGCAACCCACTCCAGTATTCTTACCTGTAAAATCCATGGACAGAGGAGCCTGGTGGGCCACAGTCCATGGGGTTGCAAGAGTCAGACACGACTTAGCAACTAAACCACCACCACGAAAGTTATTTTCAAAGAACTATAAATAGCATTAAAGGATTCATTATTTAATATTAGGTGAAAATAGGAAAATGTCATATTACATTAACTATTTTTCTTTAAAAATTGAGTTGCATGTAAAAATCATAGAAAGAAAGGCTCAAATACATATTACTTTAAAACTAATTTTAACGCTTTTCTACATATTCCAAATTTTCTTTAGTAATTATTTTTTTAAGCTAGAAAAATGTTCTTTTTTAAAAAAGATAAAGAAGTTTTGTTTTAAATGAAGCAAAAGTATGTTCATAACTTTTTGTAGCAAATGAGTATCTATAAAGCTGTGAAATAAGACAGAAAATACCTTTACAACATAATAATCATTTTATTAATGATTTTATTAATAATAAAATAATCATTTTATTAATAATAAATTGCAGTGTAATTGTTTATAGTATACAGGAAATAGTTTTACATTTCTTGGCTTAAAAATTGCTATTGCTTTAAAAAAATCAGCTTAACTGTAAGAAACTGTACACTATGGCCATATGACATATCCTATCATGAAATAAGAACGTTTGCAGAGTGAAGTCATCTGAGGCTTGGGCTTTGTGCTTATTGTGGGGATACTGTAAGGCTGTTAATCTCAGGAGGCTTCCAGCCTCACGGGGAAAACTCGAACAAGCCAAGAGTTACAAGTCCGCGTGACAGTGTTGCAGAAATACGTGCTGGTGCCAGGTGCACAGCGGGTGGTACTCCCGCCACACCAGAGAATCACGGGGAGGGTGACGATGGTTCCAAAGCAAGGTTGCTCTCCAGCTAAGTTGGAAAAGAAGAGTTAGGAGTTGATCTAGAGTCTCCCTGGACATCTTCAACGTCTTACATGCAAAACTGAAACAAGGGAAGTTGAATGGCAAGTTCACTCTGAGATCCTGATTGAAGTTACGAATCATGTCTTCCTCCTCTCTGATATCTTCAGAGCCCTGCTAGTGTTGAGTTATTGGCAATAAGTATATTATTAATAAATGAATTAATGACTGAGTGCCTCCCGGACAGAATAAGGGCATTTGCAAAAGAAATTATTTTGAGAGAAGAGACATTTAGGATTAAGGCTGAAAGGAATAGAGTGACAGATGACGAAGGCTCTCCTACATCCTGTACTTGAGCAGTTTTCAGGCTATGGTCACCCTGCTGGCATCGCCGAGGATGGACTGAAATGAGGTCAGGCCGAGGAAAGGAAATGAGGTACAAAACCGTTGCATCAATACAGATCGGAGGTAGTTGGGGCCTGAAATAAAGCACTGACTGACGGGGTGAGTGGAAGAAGTTTGATTCGGTAGGTATGCAGGAAGTAGGACTGGCACACTTAGTAACCGGTTAAATACAGAGGGAGGGTTAGAGTAGAGGACGGAATTCAGCAGGACAGCTTGGGTGTCTGTGTCAGTGCTGAGGCCACTGCTGGTCGTTTGTTTGAACAGGAATAAAGAACAGGCCCGTTTAAGGGAAAGGTGATGAGATCGGTTTTGGACATAGCAAGGTAAAGGTGTCTGTGGAGACCTCAAATAGAGATGTCCCCTTGGCAGTTGAAGAGACAAGACTGATGCTCAGAAAAAGGATTTGGACTCCCAGAGATGGGGATTTGGGGATCATCCACATATATATACAGTATATAGTGGGAGCCGTGGGAAAAGCTACGCACACTCTGCTGTACTTTGGGGGGCAATACATTCAAGAATCAAAGAGGTGAAAGCCCACAATTGTGGTTTCTAATGACGTTTTAATGAGAAATCTTCATAAAAATGCGTAAATTTTAGCATCTCAGGTAATTTTAACATAGACTTACTGAACTGAGACTCCAAATTCTATGGATTACAATACTTAGAATAACAGGGATTATAGCATGACTGGTATTTGGAATAACTGTGAAATTGTTGCCTAGACCTAATTCGTCACCCTTACTTCATGTTTTTTACTTGCCAAAGTAAAGAACTGCATATATTCTCCTTGCCAAGATAAATAAAGTTATGTTTAAAAAGATTGTTATATGTTTAATAGTTTTGCACTAGTTAATATGAGAAGCATATGAAGCTTCAATTCACCACTGTTTTTTTCTTTCATGTTCTTAAACAGTCAAAATTACTATGTTGATTTTTGTGGCGAAACTAGTAAATCTTAGGATAATTACTAAATTAGTATAATCCAGCTCTCAGTTTTATATGATCTTTCTGTGTTTGTTATCCTTTATCCTTAGTGTTTTTACAACCTCTCTTGAGTGCCAATTATAATCATTTCATTAATTTCGTTAACTTATAATGCAATTGTTTATAATATATAAAAATTATCTTAATGTGTTAAATAAAAATTTGTATAAGTTAAGCTCCTTCAGTTTTTAAAGACAGAAAGCCAAAAACTGAAAGGATCACTGTGAAGTTAGTGCATTTATGGAGTTTGTCAGACTAGATAATTATTATTCTAACATGTTTTCTGCTCTCATTTTCAGCATGACATCTATAGTATTTTCTATCATTTATTTCACATCCATATGTTCAATAATATCAGTATTTTAAATAATTCATCAGTATCAGTAAGGTTGATTGAAATGAATTATTTAGTCACTGATGATACTCAGTTTTATTATCTTATAGCAAGAAACAGTTGACATATCTATTTAGCCAACTAATATTAGTACATTTTAATATTAACAAACCAATATTTTGTTTAAAATAAATCATTCCAAAATAAAATTAGACGGAGAATAAATACAGTGAAGAACGGATAAAAGAGGAGCACTGCCGGCCTGACTATGATTTGCGTTTCACAGTGATAATTTGGACCATTTTTTAGGGAGGACAAGAAATCACAAAACAAACCAATCCAGACTTAATCTCTCCCTTAAATAGATACATTTGGCTTTCACTAATGAGCCAAATTAGTGCTAAGGCAGAAATCTCAAAAGTAAAAAGTGGAGTGTTAGTCGATATCATGAAGGATAAACTTCATCTAACCCAGAATAGGACTATAGTATTTTGTTTTTATTTTAATTTTCTTTTGCTCTAGTTTACATAATTCTGTTTTCAATTTTTAAAACGATTTTTTCTTTATAGTTATTTCTTTTAGTTCAATGTTTGGTTCCTATAAGGAAGAGGTAGTGAATAATCAAAGTATTTTATATGCTACAAGGGTAGTTTTGACAATATAGTTATTTCCTCCCTGAGAGTTTAATTTTTAGGTCTAGAACTTGAAACTCCATGCTGCTTAGAAAAGTTTTCCTTTCCCTTGTGATCTTATCAGAA